ATTGTTGTTGTTGTTGTCGTCGTGGTCGTCGTCGTCGTCGTCGTCGTCGTCGTCGTCGTCGTTGTTGTTGTTGTTGTTGTTGTTGTTGTTGTTGTTGTTGTTGTTAAAGTGAATCACAAAACAGAATCTTTAGTGAGGTTTGGGAAGTACACGAGTCCTGCTTCTCTTCAGTGTTCCTGCGATCCTTATACCCAATGCACAATGTCAATCGGATTCATTTGGCTGAGTCGGAGCCAGCCCGATATTCCTTCATGGAGGAGCACAATAAGCTGCTATTTATCGAGGGATTACTGCGCACAAGCAGTTTTGGGTCATCTGTTATCAGTAGGCCGGGAAGAGGACTTCATTGACACCAACAGAACAAGCAGAACAAAAGAAAAAAAAAGCATTCTTGGGGCAAGTAATATTCGAAACACACGACGTATTTAACAATTTAAAAAAAATATTGGAAGTGTTTTTACGCCCCCGTTAACAGACTTTAGGTAATGTAAGAGGCGAACGGAAGACCGAGATACTCTATAAACTTATATGATCTCGACACGGAATTCAAACTCAGTCCTTGTTTGAGTGCGACGGCGAGGCGCCAACCGCTACACCACGATGCTGTTCCTGGAAAGTTTCTTCCTCGCCATTTCACTTGAAATAAAATTCTCTATGACGTCTATTCAAGCGCTTATCTTCTGATTTTGTGTAAATTATATCCTCGGTTTGGGTTTTGATTTTTGTCTCTGACATGCACTTTTTTATAACTGCATTTCGACAAACACACTTCCCCACACCTTATTATTCAAACCCGAACTATCTAGTGGTCCGGCGAAGCCTATTGAAAATAACTGCGGCGTGTGTGTAATTTAATTTAAAACCGTACTTTACGCGCTAATCGGCTGCAGGTAAACCCCAAGAAGGCGTGCGTGTTTGCCTACATTATTATCGGGTGTAGATCTATGTAGAAGACGCAGAAAGGGGGGCCATAGATTTGTTGACTTAGTTGTCCTTGAGAACCTGCATGAAGCTGGCCGTACGTGCAGCCTGTGTTGTAGCCTCGCACCGTTCCTTCTTACTGCGTTACCCAAAATGGTCGTGTCCTGATCCAATATCCTTGATGGTGAGACTGGTGATAGTCTTCTTGCGAAATTCAGTATTCTAGGAACATTTAAGGACACCCTGAGCCCCAGCCACTACCGCCGCTATAAATACCCAAACAAAAACAGCAGCAGCAGCAGCAGCAGCAGCAGCAGTAGCAGCAACAACAACACCAACACAAACTACATCAACAAAAGTAACAACAACAACACAACTGCAATAACAAAAGACACAACAACACAATACTCCATCCCCCGGAACATCAGCAACAACAGCAACAACAACAACAACAAATAAAAACAAAGACCAATACAATAATAGCACCTCCTAGGCACAAACATTGTTATATATTATATTACGCATTTTCTTACTTTGGATACTGTATTACTGTATCCATTTTGGTGAGGTTGTTCGCTTTTGTTAAAAGGGGTGGGGGTAGGGGCTTATCGGCTCCCATTGCAAGAACATTACAAGTGAAAAGTACATAACATAATCTCTGGCAACAGTATGTGTGAAGAGAGCCAGGCAGGTAGTCAGGTGGTTAGGTAGATAGGTTGATCGGAAGGTAGATAGGTAGGTAGGTAGGCAGGTAGGCAGGTAAGTGGGTAAGTAGGTGAGTCGCTATAGGTAAGAAGGTAGGTAAGGAGGGAGGGATGTAAGAAGGTAAGTAGTCAGGTAGGTAGGTATGTAGGTATGTAGGTATAGGAAGGCAGGGGGAGGTGGTGGTTAGGAAAGTAGGAAAGTATCGTAAGATATGCATTGCGCCGTTATGGCTGTGTGGATTTACAAAAGGTGTGTGTCTTTGTGTGCGGATGGATGGTTGAAGGAATGGATGCGTGGATGGGGTGGAAGGATGTGAAGTGATGTGATGGATGGATAGGATAGATGGGATGGAGTGGATGAATGGGATAGATGGAAAATATGGATGGAAGAATTGAGACGGATGGGATGCATGGGATAGATGGGATGAGATGGGACGGGATGGGATGGATGAAGGGATGGATGATGAACGGATAGATGGATACACGGATGGGTGTGCGTGTGGGTGTGCGTCACTGTGATCATGCCTTCGTGCACAGATGAGTGTGTATGTGTATATAGGTGCGTGTATGTGTGTGAATATTTGTTTGCGTGTGTCAGAAATCGCCCTTGCAAGGCATATTGATGATGCAAATATGAAGATGGTATCTCCCATCTGAATTTGGCAAGCGAAACAACCGGATTGATCCCCCCAAAAAGCCAAGAAATATAACTTACCTCGATAGAGAGGCTCCTCCTCTCTTTCATTTTGTTTCCTCTTCTTTGTTTTCGCTTTCTTCTTCTTCCTTTTCTTTTTCTTTCTCTTCTCTTTCCTCTCCTGCAACATATTACACAGAACTCGAATTTCATAAATTTCACAAACTGACATACACTACCGGTGCATGTAATAATCACTACCGTACGTACTTTCCTAGGATGTCTCAGAACGTGCTTCTTCTCTCAAATGTCACTATTATTTCCTCTTCATTCTTATTGTACAGCATTTTTTTCGTTTAATTTTAGTTTCATTCGTTTTCCATCAGAGATATCAAATGAGAACACAATAACAAATAAAATATTAAGACCATAAGAGTCCCATTGTCGGTGACTTTGGTGTGCCAGTTAGGCGCTTCGTCGTCTCCCACAGAAGATCCGAGTTCGATTCTCGTGTGGGGAAAATTGTCCTCAAGCGCCTCGGTCTTCCTGCTGTATCTAATGCTGTGTATCTGTCAGTCCGATTTGTCCCTGACAGGCAGGGTTGAAGCCCGCCTCCTAAATGGTCTAGTTTCTGTCGATGGCGGCGTAAATACCTGCATATAAAAGAGTTCCATTTTGCTGATTAAATGGTTCACGAATTAGCAGGTGGAATATAAATAAATAAGTATTATA